CAGGCTGGAATACAGTGGCGTGATTTCTGCTCACTGGAACCTCCGCCTCCTGGGTTCAAGTGATTCTCCTGCCTCAGCCTCCCGAGTAGCTAGGATTACAGATGTGTGCCACCACACCCAGCTAATTTTTGTATTTTTAGTAGAGACAGGGTTTCACCATGTTGGCCAGGCTGGTCTCAAACTCCTGAAAAAAAAATTTTTTTTTTTAGAGATAAGAGTCTTGCTATATTGCCCAGGCTGGTCTTGAACTCCTGGCCTCAAGCAGTCTTCCCACCTCGGCCTCCCAAAGTGCTGGGATTACAGGTGTGAGCCGCTGAGACTGGCCTCTGTATACTAGCTTTCTTTAGGTTAGTATCTGCATGGTTTATCTTTTTCTTTAATCCTTTTATTTTCAGCCTTTTGTTGTGATTTTTAGTTGTATTTTCTGTAAGTGGCATGTAGTTGGATTTTTGTAAGTCCTGCAATGAAATATAATGGATATATTTGGTCCATTTTTATTTGTAATTACTGCTATATTTGGACATTTCTACTCTCTAATTTTATGTTTTCTGTTTAACATTCCGCCCCCATTCTTTACCTGCCTTCCGTTGCTCAAATTTTCAGTCTTGCTCCCTTGTTTCTCTCCCTGCGTTTGTGGTGACCCCTATATTTTTTAAAATATAATTTAGGCCGGGCGTGATGGCTCATGCCTGTAATCCCAGCACTTTGGGAGGCCAAGGTGGGTGAATCATGAGGTTAGGAGTTTGAGACCAGCCTGACCAACATGGTGAAATCCTGTCTGTACTAAAAATATAAAAGTTAGTCAGGCATGGTGGCATGCACCTGTAATCCCAGCTACTCAGGAGGCTGAGGCAGAAGAATTCCTTGAATCCAGGAGGCAGAGGTTGCAGTGAGCCAAGACTGCACCACTGCACTCCAGCCTGGGCAACAGAGCAAGACTCCGTCTCAAAAAACAAAAACAAAAACATATATATATATATATATTTACACACACATATTTTATATATTTTTTATATATTTGCATATGTACATATATATATAATTACAAATATTTTTACAGATAGGCTCTCATTCTGTCTCTTGCCCAGGCTGGTGTGCAAAGAGGTGATCATAACCCACAGCAGTCTTGAACTCCCAGACTCAAGAAATCCTCTGACCTCAGTCTCCCAAGTAGCCACTGCACCTGGCCAAATTTAGTGAATTATACAAGTAATTATTATTGTATAATTATAGTCATAATTGTATTATTATAGTAATAATTGTACCATAATTACAATTATTGTTATTATAATTATACAATTATTAAGATATTTAAAAATTAAAAAATAAAGGCCGGGCATGGTGGCTCACGCCTGTAATCCCAGAACTTTGGGAGGCTGAGGCAGGTGGATCACCTGAGGTCAGGAGTTTGAGACTAGCCTGACCAACATGGCCAAACCCCATTTCTACTAAAACTATAAAAATTAGCTGGGCATGGTGGCACATCCCTGTAATCCCAGCTTTTTGGGAGGCTGAGGCAGGAGAATCACTTGAACCCGGGAGGCAGAGGTTGCAGTGAGACAAGTTTGTGTCATTGCATTCCAACCTGGGCTCAAGAGTGAAACTTCGTCTCAAAAAAAATTAAAAAGAAAAAAATTAGAAAAAAAAAATGAAAAAATTAGGCTAGGAGTTATAGTGGCTCCTGCCTCTAATCCTTGCATTTTGGGAGGCCAAGGCAGGAGGATCGCTTGAGGCCAGGAGTTCAAGACAGCCTGGGCAATATAGCAAGACTTTCTCTACAAAAAATTAAAAAAAAAAAATTAGCCAGGTGTGGAAATGCCTACCTGTAGTCCCAGCTACTTGGGAGGCTGAGGTAGGAGTATCATTTTAGCCCAGGAACTGGAGACTGCAGTGAGACATGATTATGCCACTGCACTCCAGCCTGGGCAACAGAGTGAGACCCTGTCTCTAGGAAAATATATATATATATTTATATATATTTTTATAAATTATATATATATAAATATATATAATATATATAAATAAATTTATATGTACTCTGACCCAATAATTTTTATTTTCATAATTTAAAAAAATTCTACTCTTTCTGTATATTTCTATAATTTTATGCTAGGAAATGAGCAACGATATGTTCAGAAATTTACGTGCAAGGACGTTTATTAGAATAATTTATAACAGCCAAAATAGGAACTAATATTCACCAGGTGAATGAGACAGTACTATATAATGAGTAAAATCACAGTTTTGAAGTCTACATAGTGAAAATGCTACAAAAGAGGGGAAAAAGCGGGAATACAAAATTGCACATACAATTTTGGACACACATAAATAAAATTTTGGAGACACTAAATAAATTATTTCTATACATATCCATCTTACTGAATGAATGCTGAAAGTCATTGAAATATTAGGGCATCTCAGTATATGGCCACGGAGGCAACATGATATAGGAAATCCTTAAAAATTTTTTTTTTATTTTTTGAGATGGAGTCTTGCTCTGTCACCCAGGCTGGAGTGCAGTGGCATGATCTCAGCTCACTGCAACCTCCGCCTCTCCCGTTCAAGTAATTCTCCTGTCTCAGCTTCCTAAGTAGCTAGGATTACAGGCGTGCACCACCATGCCTGGCTAATCTTTTGTATTTTTTTAGTAGAAATGAGGTTTCACCATCCTGGGCTGTTCTGGAATTCCTGACCTCATGATCCGCCTGCCTTGGCCTCCCAAAGTGCTGGGATTACAGGCATGAGCCACTGCGCCCAGCCAGGGAAATCCTTGTAACTGGATAACTATTACAAGTAGATAAATCAAGTGTGATTTTTGGACTACAAAGTTCTCTCTCAATGTTTTTCTAAATATTTTATCTTTATTACAGTCTTCAAAATTTTCATTCCATTCTGCGAGTTTATACATCCATTTTGTTTGATGGTAAATTTTCTTCAAAAATTGTAGTTGGGAGGTCGAGGCAGGAGGATCACGAGGTCAAGAGATCAAGACCATCCTGCCCAACATGGTGAAGCCCTGTCTCTACTAAAAATACAAAATTTAGCCAGGTGTGGTGGTGGACACCTGTAATCCCAGCTACTTGGAGACTTAGGTAGGAGAATATCTTGAACCCAGGAGGCGGAGGTTGCAGTGAGCCGAAATCATGTCATTGCACTCCAGCCTAGGCAACAGAGCGAGACTCCATCTCAAAAAAAAAAAAAAAAAAAAAACTGTAGTTGGGCCGGGCTCCATGGCTCATGCCTGTAATCCCAGCACTTTAGAAGGCTGAGGTGGGTGTATCACTTGAGGTCAGGAGTTCAAGACCAGCCTGGCCAACATGGTTTCTACTAAAAGTACAAAAATCAGCTGGGCATGGTGGTGGGTGCCTGTAATCGCAGCTGCTCTGGAGGCTGAGGCAGGAGAATTGCCTGAATCCAGGAGTCTGAGGTTGCAGTGAGCCAAGAGATTGCGCCACTGCACTACAGCCTGGGCAACAGAGACTCCGTCTCAGAAAAAAAAAAAAATTGTAGTTGAATTTCCTGTTGAAACAATGCTGTGTGATATTCTATGGTGATTGTTCTCCCTTAATTCCCTTTACCAGTTAAAGCTTGGTTATCAAAGGTGTGTTTACATCTTTAAAGTTATATAGCTTCTGACAATGAATGTAAAATGGTTTTATTTTTTACTTTTATTTATTTATTTTATTTAAATTATTTTTATTTTTATAAGAGATGGGGTCTCACTATGTTGCTCAGGCTGGAGTGCAGTGGCTATTCACAGGCGCGATTCCACTACAGATCAGCACAGAAGTTTTGACTTGCTTCATTCCGACCTGGGCGGGTTCATCCCTCCTTAGGCAACCTGGTGGTCCCCTGCTCTGGCGAGGTCACCATATTGATGCTGAACTTAGTGTGGACACCTGATCGGCATAGCGCACTACAGCCCAGAACTCCTGGGCTCAAGCAATCCTCCCACCTCAGCCTCCCGAGTAGCTGGGACTACAGGCATGCACCACTGCGCCCAGCTAGTTTTTATTTTTTTTTAGAGATGGGGTTTCACCATGTTGGCCAGGCTGGTCTTGAACTCCTGATCTCAGGTAATCCACCTGCCTCAGTCTCCATAAGTGCTAGGATTACAGGCATGAGCCACCGTGCCTGGCATAAAAGGGGTTCTTTACATAAAAGTTTGTGAAGATATTAGCTTAGAGAGGCAAGTTAACTATGGTACTTAGAAATAAAGAGGCACATCCTTCTATGGATATCTAGTGAAGTCAGTTGCTATAATCTATTCTGTTTAAAAACCAAACTATACTAGGTCTGAATAACAAAATAATGTACATTTCCCCTAGAAGGCGGGAAGATAAACTCATACCTATGTGCCATTCCGTTTTTTCTTCTTCTGATAGTGATTGTATCTCCCCAAATGACCTAACTCAGAGGAATTTAGGAATAGTGTACTGGCTTGCTTCCCATAAAACATCCCTGTTTGTGTTGTATATTTGAAATAGTAGCAACATGATTAAGAATGTGGACTCTAGAGTCAATCAGATGGCCCTGGGTTAAAATCTCAGCCAGCTCTACTACCTACTAGCTATTTGAGATTGATGCGTTCCCTCATCTATTTATTTTTTTCTTTCTTTCTTTCTTTTTTTTGGCTAGCATCTCACTTAGCACTCATCTATTTATTTTTTAAAAAGCAGTAATAGTACTTAACTCATAGGGTTAACATTGAGATGATGTATGTAGACTGTTCTGCCAGTTTTCTGGTATCCCATGGTGAGTGCTCTAAGTACCGTGAGCATTGTCTATTATAATCACAGGGAGTAAGCAAGAGATGGGAAAACAGGGGCAGTGTTATGAGGCCGATTCAGAGAGGTTCGTGGGTTACAGGAAGAAGACAGATAAGGCTATAGCATGAAACATATTAGTGTGAGGAAGGATTTCAGATGAGGCCAGATCTGATAGTAATGAAACAGCTCCAGTGCAAGTGTTTTATAACTGGTTCTCTTTGATTCTTCTAGAGAGCCATGTCCTGCCACCGCAGCCAGCTCCTCTGGTTCCGCCGCCTCTACATTTTCTTCTCCCGGTACATGAGAATCAACTCATTGAGCTTCCTCTGAAGCCTTGAAGGGTTTTCAGATCCAAGGAACAAAGGGTAAAATAGACAAAGGAGTGCAGGGGACCTGGCATGGTGCTGGCTTATTTGCCTGAGCTAAAGGAGATCCCTGCTAAAGCAGCCTCTGCAAAAGGGAGCCCATGTAGGCCAGGGACTGTCCAAACTCCAGCTTCTTCCCCTGGGAAAAAACCCAAAGAACCAAAAACAAACCAACCCAAGGATAATAGTAGCTACCCTGCTAGTTTCTCAAGTTCTCGTGAGAAACAATTTACATAATGACACAGTACATGTGGAACACCTAGCCCAGTGCCTGGGCAGATCCCTATTATCATAAATGACTGTTAAAGTGCTGTAAAAACGTTCCACAGATGTGACTTTTGATGTTTCCAAAGTGGGTTCACCAAAAACACATATACACAATGCAACAGTGTGTGTTGAGCTGGGTCAATCATAATTTCTTTGATTTTTCTTTTATCAGAATGGGGGTCTAAGAAAAACTTGCCCTATTTAACAGGACAGCTGTTGATTGAAGCATCTAAGTACAGATCACTGGGGTGGGAACTGTTTTATACAGAGACGATTACAAGGGCTCTGCCTCAAAGAGCTTACATTCAAATATGTCAGCTCTCAGTCTTTTTGGAGAAGTAGGAAATAGGAAGAGAAATCTGGGACTTAACACAAAACATTCAAGAACCTGATGTCTTAAAATTGTCCTACAAACAAAAGCTGTCTGAAAGATCTGGCTTGGAAACTACTCTGAGAATCCAACTAATGGTCCAGGGAAGTGGCCTGAGGCCGGGAAGCTCAGTGATGGAGAGAGCACAGGCTGGTAGCCCTGCCACTGAAGCCAGAATGACCAGCCGTGCAATCAAAGGCAAGGTGCTGAACCTTTCTCTGCCTCAGTTCTCTCATCTGCAAATGGGAGATAAGGATCCCAACCCTGAACAAGATAATACATGAAGGTGCATATCAAAGAGTCCTGCATGCTCTCCCAGGTAGGTATTCCCTCCACCTGCCACAGGAAACCCTGAATTGATTTCTCCACAGCTGCAGGTTAGAGACCTGCTTGTTCAGGCTCTCCACCTCAACTTGTCCCTTTTCTTAGTGTCACCAGTATCTTGAATGCCTCCTAGGGGCCACATGAGACTCATAGAGCTATTAGGCCCTGAAGTTGAAATCAAAAATGCAAATCTGGTTAAGTGATTTGTCTGCTTAAACTTTGTCAATAGCTCCTAATAGCCTCCATGTGAAAGTGTGACCAGAAGCAGTAAACACTGGCTAGAGTGTGGTAAGACAGGCTGACCTCTGTCCTGTTACTAGGAAGACAGACACTGACCTAGTCTTTCCGAACAGAAACTCTGCTAAGAGCTTTTAAAATATGCACACTGTATGACTTAAGGCATACTTAGAAAATCAAAATTATGTACACACTGGCTGGGTACAGTGGCTCACACTTGTAATCTCAGCATTTTGGGAGGCCGAGGTAGGTGGATCACTTGAGGCTAGGAGTTTGAGACCAGCCTGACCAATGTGGCAAAACCCTGTGTCTACTAAAAATACAAAAATTAGCTGAGTGTGGTGGCAGAAGCCTGTGGTCCCACTTACTCGGAAGGCCGACTTGCAAGAATAGCTTGAACCTAGAAGGTAGAGGCTGTAGTGAGCTGAGAACGCACCACTGCACTCTGGCCTGGGCGACAAAGCAAAACTGTGTGTGTGTATGTATATATATATATATATATATATATATTTGAATCTTAGAGGTTAGAAAGATGAACAAAATTATCAATATTTGCTTCTGGATGGTGAGACTTAAAACTTATTTCTTGCCTCTTTTGTTTTACTGTACATTCCAACTTTTTTGAAAGAATTAAGTAAAAGTAGGCCAGGGGCAGTAGCTCATACCTGTAACCCCAGCACCTTGGGAGGTTGAGGTGGGTGAATCACCTGAGGTCTGGAGTTCAAGACCAGCCTGGCCAACATGGTGAAACCCCAGCACTACTAAAAATACAAAAATTAGCTGGGAATGGTGGTGCATGCCTGTAATCCCAGCTACTCGGGAGGCTGAGGCAGGAGATTCGCTCGAACCCAGGAGGTGGAGGTTGCAGTGAGCTGAGATCGCGCCACTGCACTCCAGCCCAGGCAACAGAGCGAGACTCCGTCTCAAAAAATAACTAGATTAATTAATTAAATAAATAAAACATAAAAAATTAAAAAAGAGAGGGTGGCTGCATCTGAGGCTGTAGGTTCTACTCTGGATTCTGGAAAGAAGACAGACCGGAACTGGGCTCTCTTTGGTACCAACAGAGAGCCAAGGAACAGCAGCGCAGGAGGGAAGGAAGCCCCTGGAGGCCGGTTAGCGTAGCCACTAGCAGTGCCTTGGTGAGAAAAGAACCCTCCAGATGCAGCCCTGTGGACACTTGTCCTGGCAAGAAAAGAGAGTCCTTGTGCAAATTATCAAAAGTCTTTCCTGCAGGCAAACACACTCCCTCCCCAGGCCACAAACAACCTTATAAGAGGAGCAGAGACTTAAGCATCCACTTAGCAAGATGCCCTTGTTTGGTTAACAATCTTCCAAACTAGGCAGCAGCAGCCCCAAAGCCTGGAGCAAAAATCATAATTTCATGGTTCCTTGAAGGAACACCTATGTCAAAGAGACCTGCAAGCAATTCCCCACCCACCCCATCCTCCGCAAGGGCTGATGGTTTGCCAGTTCTCACCTCGGCCCAGAGAGCAGAACTCCCCTCTTGGCCACTACTCAGCAGCCCTGACTCATTAAGGAAACATAAAAACGCAGAGCAACCAGACACAGTACAAAAAGGGAACCCTCACCTGAGGAGGCACAGAGGGAGGGGATTCCCATTCCCTGGAAAAGGCAGATCTCACTGAAGTAGCAATTAAATGGAAGAGACTTTATCAGAAACAGTGAAAGCCCAGGCACTGGCCCAGGAAAAAAAGCATGCTTCTCCATGGTGACCAAATTAGTAATGCGGAATATCAAGTAGAAGATATATCACCGAACAAAGAGGTAAAAAAGCTGAGAAATGGAAATAAGGGTGGCAAAGAGAGTTGAGAACACCTTCAGGAGAGCTAACATGAATAATGGAAGTCGCAGAAGGAGCAAAAGCAGGAGGCTAATAAAGGAGAACTTCCGTAATCTGAAGGAGACAGTACACCAAAAGAGCCCGCCAAATCCTAAGCAGCTTTGATTTTTAAAACAGATGCACAAATATGCTGTGAAATTCCTAAATTCCAAGTCAGAAGGGGGAGATTAAAGTATTCAGAAGGTCTCCTCTGGGGGCCGGACCTTGTGGCTCGTGCGTGTAATCCCAGCACTTTGGGAGGCTGAGGTAGGCAGATCACTTGAAGTCAGGAGTTTGAGACCAGCCTGGCCAACATCGAGAAACTCCGTCTCTACTAAACATACAAAAGTAAGCCAGGCGTGGTAGTGCATGCCTGTAATCCCAGCTACTTGGGAGGCTGAGGCAGAAGAATCACTTGAACCCAGGAGGCGGAGGTTGCAGTGAGCTGAGATGGTGCCATTGCACTTCAGCCTGGACTACAGAGTGAGACTCCATCTCAAAACAAAAACAAACAAAAAGGCCTCCTCTGGGGCCAAGGGGAAGCTGGGCTGGGGGTAAAGCCGCAGGGTGACAAATAGACAAGTGATGGGCTGCAGTCTGGATTGTGAGGAACTGAAGGTAAACACTTCCAGGACTGAAAAGCATGGGATTGCAATTAACAAAGAGGAAAGCAGGAAATAAAGAGAAACTTAAAAGGCTGCAAAAGTAAGAAAAAAGGAAAGAGTATAAAATGTGATAAATATAATAGAAGTAATACAAAAAGAATAAAATCAGAGTTACTTCAAAAAATATAAATAAACTGAATTTCCCTACCAAAACAGACTGTGAAATCAATGTATTAGAAAACAAAATCTATCTACATCTAAAAGTAACAAAGGCTAAAAATAAAAGGATGAACCATATATAGCAGGAGAACAAAAAGAAGGAAAGAGCAACACCAGAAATCCAGGCCAGGCCCAATATGACACTAAGAAGCATTAAACTGGACGAAGATGGGCATTTTAACAGGTTCACTCCATGAGATGATAGGCACCAAGCATTACAGTAGCCAGATATATAGAACAAAACCTTCCAGAAATATAAGACCTTTATTTAAAAACAAAACCAAACAAAACACCATGATAAAATTCTTCCAGAATTTTGAAAAATCAAGTTAGCAAAAAAATAATAACATAGAACATTTGAATAAAGCAAACATTCACTTATGTTTTAGAACATTTACAAAAGCCAACTGTTTATTGGCCACTGATATCCATTTATTTATTTATTTATTTGAGACAGGGTCTTGCTCTGTCATCCAGGCTTGGAATGCAATGGCGTGATCACAGCTCACTGCAGCCTCAAACTCCTGGGCTTGAGGAACTCTCTGCCTCAGTCTCCCAAGTAGTTGGGACTACAGGCATGTGCCACCACCCTTGTTCTTTTGTTTTTTTTTGTTTCAGATGGAGCCTCACTCCGTTGCCCAGGCTGGAGTACAGTGGTGCAATCTCCACTCACTGGTTGCCTCCCGGGTTCAAGCGATTCTCCTGCCTTAGCCTCCCAAGTAGCTGTAATTACAGATGTGTGCCACCATGCCCGGCTCATTTTTGTATTTTTAGTAGAGACAGGATTTCACCATGTGGGCCAGGCTGGTCTCAAACTCCTGATCTCAGATGATCTGCCCACCTTGGCATCCCAAAGTACTAGGATTACAGACATGAGCCACCACATTTGTTTGTTTGCTTGTTTTAATGAGACAGGATCTTGCTATGTTGACCACTTTGGCCTCCCAAAACGCTGGGATTACAGGCATAAGCCACTGCACCCAGCAGAGAATTCCCTAATAAATTCCTTAATGTAGAGATTTAACAGCCTACGATTTTTTTTTTTTTTTTGAGTCTCACTCTTGTTGCCCAGGCTGGAGTGCAATGGCACAATGTTGGCTCATCACAACCTCTGGCTCTTGGGTTCAAGCGATTCTTCTGCCTCAGCCTCCCAAGTAGCTGGGATTACAGGCATCTGCCACCGTGCCCGGCTAATTTTGTATTTTTAGTAGAGATGGGGTTTCTCCATGTTGTTCAGGCTGGTCTCGAACTCCTGACCTCAGGTGATCCACAGGCCTTAGCTTTCCAAAGTGCTGAGATTATAGGCGTGAGCCACCATGCCCGGCTGCCACTTTCTTTGATCATAATTAAATAACATGCATGTAAATAATAAAATTACTAAGGAGGGGTATCAACAACACTACTCGGAAATCAAGAGGCCCCTTCCTAAATAACCCCTAGATGAAAGAGGAAATTAAAATTGGTATTGCAAATTATCTAGAAAGTAATAAAAATTATACTTCATGTGAGTGTAATTTAGGTAATTTGTAGTCTTAAATGCTTAAATTTTTAAAAGATTGAAAATGAGTGAACTACATGATTCAATTTGAGAAAATCAAAAATAGAAACCAATAGCAAGAGGGACTTAACAGAGATAAAGGATTAGATTAAATCAGTGAAACCAAAAAATAGTGGAAAGGATAACTTTTCTTTGAAAAATGAAATAAGCCAATATACAGCAAGTCTAATTCAGGAAAAGAAAAAATAAAAGTGCAGTTATTGGGAGCATATGGATATATGACCACAAAAGTGAAAAAGGATGAAAAACAAAAAAGATTATATGGTTTGAGGTCAGGAGTTCAAGACCAGCCTTGGCAATATAGTGAACTAAATATACAAAAATTAGCCAGGGAGATGGAGGTGGGAAAATGGCTTGAGCATGGGAGACAGAGGTTGCATTTTGCCACTACACTCCAGCCTGGGCGACAGAACCAGACCCTGTTCAAAAAAATAATAGAAAATAAGTATTGGTGAGGATGTGAAAAAATTGGAATCCTCATACATCGTTGGTGGGAAAGGAAATGATGCCGCTGCTATGGAAAACCCTTTGATGATTCCTTAGTAATTTTAACAAGGATTTACCATATGACTCAGCAGTTCCAGTCGTAGGTACAGATCCCATAGAACAGAAAACATTCAGACAAAACCTTGTAAATGAGTATTCATAGCAATATTATTCATAATATCCTCAAAGTAGAAACAACTCAAATGTCTATCTATCAACTGGTGAATAAACAAAATACTACATTTTATCATTAGC